TTAAAAAGAAGAGCATTTATTTAAAATAGAAATCTTTTCTAACAATATACACTACCATTCAAAATTTGGGGTCAGTAAATTTGTATTCTTTCTTTTTTTGAAAGAAATTAAAACTTTCATTCAGCAAGGTTGTGTTAAATTGTTAAGACGTGATACCAAAGATTTATATTGTTAGAAAAGATTAATATTTTGAATAAATGCTGTTCTTTTCAACTTTTTATTCATCAAAGAATCCTGAAAAAAGTATCACAGTCTCCCAAAAAAATATTTGGCAGCACAACTGTTGCCAACGTTGATAAATCTAATAATAATCAGCATTTTAGAATGATTTCTTAAGGATCATGTGACACTTTATACTGGAGTAATGGCTGATGGAAATTCAGCTTTTCATCACAGAAATAAATTATATTTTAAAGGATATTAAAATAGAAACCATTATTTTATATTGTAATAACATTTTGCAAGATTACTGTTTTTTTCTGTATTTTTGATCAAATAAATGCAGCCTTGATGAGCATAAGAGACTTCTTTAAAAAACATTACAAGTCTTACTGATCCCAAACTTTTGAACGGTATAGTGTGTGTGTATGTATATATATATATACTTTTTTATATAAATATAATATAATAAATATAATATAATATAATTTCATGAGATCCAGCGAGTGGGACTTACCCTAAAGTCTACCCGTTATGCTATCAGTACACAAGAGCTGGGTGTCATTTGTCTCTGCAGTGAGCACTGCTTGAAAAGAACTGCTCTTGTTCTCGTAACCAAACTTAAGGCGGGGCTATTTTTCGCGATCCAATAAAAAAAGAGTTCGGCTGTGAAGTCCGCCGTCTATGGCGGAAATTTCTGTCAATCAAAAATAGTAGCCTAGCAAGGTTGTTTCACGATGTAAACTAAAAGTGGGCCTTCTCGGATCCTTACAAAAGCCAAAGTATGTCAGCTTCTTTTTTTCACTTTCAAGACATTTATCACACATTTAACAAACGTCCAGCTGTAATACATACATGCTAACTTCAGTCTAAAACCGCGTTTATCCGGAATAAACATTCTGACATGTCGTCCTGGCTGTTTACCCTGTAACTCTTGACTGTATAGTTGTTTTATATAGTTGAACTTCTGTTCGTTTTTTTAAACCTAGTTTCTATGGCAACAAAAGACGCTGTTCCAGAGAACTCGTTCCTTTTCATTTGAATTCAAACCAGTGAAAGTCAACGGAAAAAGAACGCGGCCACTGATGTTTGTTTACATTTCAAAAACAGCTGTTTCTAGTGATGTTGTGTAATCGAACAGTAAATATGATTGTTTCTCTCAAAGGTCTTTTATCTGTTCCACTCTGAGGGTTCAGATGTCATGTGTTATTATTTTGTAACTTGATATTTAAAATTCTGCGTAGTCATAGATTATCATAAACAAACAGGAGACGCAGTGAATGTCATTTGAGTAATTAAGAAGAACTAGATAAGTTAAAATGTCTTCAGTGGAAAAATCTATCCGTCTGTCTGTCTGTCTGTCTATCTATCTGTCTGTCTGTCTGTCTGTCTGTCTGTCTATCTATCTATCCGTCTGTCTGTCTGTCTGTCTGTCTATCCGTCCGTCTATCCGTCTCTCTGTCTGTCTATCCGTCCGTCTATCCGTCTCTCTGTCTGTCTATCCGTCCGTCTATCCGTCTCTCTGTCTGTCTATCCGTCCGTCTATCCGTCTCTCTGTCTGTCTATCCGTCCGTCTATCCGTCTCTCTGTCTGTCTATCCGTCCGTCTATCCGTCTCTCTGTCTGTCTATCCGTCCGTCTATCCGTCTCTCTGTCTGTCTATCCGTCCGTCTATCCGTCTCTCTGTCTGTCTATCCGTCCGTCTATCCGTCTCTCTGTCTGTCTATCCGTCCGTCTATCCGTCTCTCTGTCTGTCTATCCGTCCGTCTATCCGTCTCTCTGTCTGTCTATCCGTCCGTCTATCCGTCTCTCTGTCTGTCTATCCGTCCGTCTATCCGTCTCTCTGTCTGTCTATCCGTCCGTCTATCCGTCTCTCTGTCTGTCTATCCGTCCGTCTATCCGTCTCTCTGTCTGTCTATCCGTCCGTCTATCCGTCTCTCTGTCTGTCTATCCATCCGTCTATCCGTCTCTCTGTCTGTCTATCTATCCATCTGTCTGTCTTTCTATCTATCTGTCTGTCTATCCATCTGTCTATTAAACCAGCTGTTAAAATAGATTAGAGAAGTAGGTTTGTCTTACCATGCTCTAAATTATCTTTTCATTTGAATTCAAACCATTGAAAGTCAACAGAACGTGTGAAAGAACGCGGACACTGATGTTTGTTTACATTTCAAAAACAGCTGTTTCTAGTGAAATTCGGCATTGCATCACTTGCTCGCCAATGGATCCTCTACAGTGAATGAGTGCTGACAGATTGAGAGTCCAAACAGCTGAAGAAAACATCAATTAAAATCCTGTGAAGAAAAAAGCTGCGCGTTTGTAATAAACGAATCCATTGTTAAGACTTTTTTAACTTCCAACCATCGCTTCTGGCTAAAATACAAGCCCTCTATCCATAACATTCCTTCCTCAAGTGGAAAAGTCGTCTCGTCTGAATCGGGATAGAAATATGCACAGATCAAGCACCGTTTACAAGCGAAAACAGTTCTAAATAAATATGTTGGTGGAATTTGATGTTAGAGGACAACAAAGGGATACCACTTAAAATCACTAATATGACTGATATGTCATGCTTCTCTATAAATAAATATAATGTGCATATAAAATGTGAGTTATCTTTTGTCACTGTGATTCTTTCACTCAGCAGATTACGGATGACCTCTTGACCTCGTTGGCAGGAAGCTAGTCAGACCATGGCTGCTGGTGCTGCAGTCGGAGAGGGTCAGATCCAACGGTTTATCAGAGATCTGCATGGTACGGATGTGCGTTGGCTTTCATGAGAGAGGCAGAGCTATTGTTTAGAGAGTGAAAAGAGACACATGGTCCACGGTGGAGCACGTGCAGTTGCAGTCCTCAGGGTGCTGGCTTTCAACATGGGGGAAAGAGAAATGCAAAACGAGAGAGACCTGCGTGTCAGAGTTTATCCCTCATGTGTGCCGTTTCAGTTCCTGAGGTGGATGAAAGGCGCGTGGAAGACATACAACCAAAAATGGGCTAAAGAAGGAGAAAAAACACTTCTTAAACCTTTGAAAAAAATGACTATAAAATTATTAATTACAGTGTGTTGCTCTGTAATTGTTTTAAAATGTGCATTTACATATCTTTGTCATTTTTATTGTCATACTTGCTTTATTCTGATGGTCTTTTCTTACAGATGCTGTTTCAGAACTGACAAAAGAGTATAAGGAGAACGGCGAGCCCATTACAGATGACAGCTCCAACCTGCACAAGTTCGCCTACAAACTGGAGTACCTGCTACAGGTCAGAGACATAGACACGGAAAAAAGATGTAAACGGGCTCCCAAACTTCTTATTTGATTGATCAAACTAGTTAGAAATGCATATGATTACATCGTATTTGTTGTGTAAATTCTCATGCAGCCTGACCAACAAAACAGTATCGCATACTCACCTGCCAATCAACCATTGTGCTAAAACAAGGATTTTAAACTTTACTGTTATGTGTGGGTTTACAAGAAAAACGTAATCAAGATGCAAATGTAAAATGATGTCTTAAAAATAGGGCTGGGTATCGTTCAAAAATGTTATTATATTGATACCGATACCCTGACTTCGATACCGGTTCCTGAACGATACTTTTTTCTATACCAATTTTATGAAATCAAGTTTAACAAGATTACATTATCTAAAAAAAAAAAAACTTTGGTTTTATTTTCAGCTTGTTGAGACTCATCTCCTGAGCCACTGCACAAAGGAACAAAATGTAACCAACACAATAAATCAGTGCAAATAGTTTTAATAAAGCTCAAATAGTCTTCAGTTTACACATCTGTTAGGCTACATTTACACTAGTGCGTGTTCGTTTTAAAACGCATAGCTCAGACAGAATAATGATTTCTATTTATTTTCCACTGATTTGCTGATGCAGCTTCCAGCGCTGTCTGCCTGTGTTCTCTCTTCCATGATTGCTGCTCTGACTCAGAGTCAGCAGTAATAACATATTTCATTTCAGCAACATTACATGGCCAAAACACACATTAGACGGCAATCGGAAGTAATTACAAACACTCGATGGTGGTTTAAAGTGAGTTTTGAGTAAAAATGGAATATAAATCTTATTTATTGTCTTATGTAGCATGATGCTACAGTTTGCATGAACGGTCATATAACACGCACTTTCGGTCGTGTAACGTTAGTATGAACGGACATCTGCATATGATCGGAATGCCACGCAGCTCCCGCACTACTCTCCATAGGAAATGAATGACTGAATGACTGGTCTGTCGTTTGTCGGAGATAGTGGAAAGCCGGCTTGAAACGCAGTGGAAACGCCAGTATGACGAGTATCGTTTTCATTTTAAAACATAAATGCACCAGTGTAAATGTAGCCTTACATCTAAGGGGGCTGGGACGCATTCGCACTACAGCCTCACGTGTGCGCCACATCTCTGAGTGTAACTGGTGTAAACTAGTAGGTGTATTCAACAGTGTTGGGGGTAACGTGTTACAAGTAACGTGAGTTATGTAATCAGATTACTTTTTTCAAGTAACTAGTAAAGTAACGCATTGCTCTGTAATTTACAAGAGAATATCTGAGTTACTTTTGTAAATAAGTAACGCAAGTTACTTTTTTTTCCAATGTATTGATTGACAGCTCTCCTGTTGAGAGAAATCAGAAGATGTTACTGTAGTTCTAAATTAAATATGAATATGCGTTAATTCATCTCACTCACACACAAAAAACACACAGATTCAGTATTCCTAAAATTTATAAAAAAATGCAACTCAGAATATGACGCAAACCTGCAATAATTAAATGTTAAACAACACAAATATCATTTATGTATTTAATCCCATTCTATTTGCTTCTGACCTTCGATGATCCAGTTCAATCATACTAATAAGCACAAATGACTCTAGACAAACACTTGTGTGTCTTTTTTTATTGCTGAAGTATGTTGAAATGTCTTCTTGTGCATTCTACTGTACGGACGTAAATTTACTTTCCCTTCAGCCTGAGACTTATTCATTTCACTTTTGGTGTGAAAAGGCTTTTATATTTGCCAAAGATAGAACTTTTTTATTTTAAAAACGAACAAGCAAGCCCTGTCCGGATTTAAAAAGTAACGCAAAAGTAACGTAACGCATTACTGTCAGTTTCCATAAAAAGTAACTAAGTAAAGTAATTAGTTACTTTCTTAGGGAGTAACGCAATATTGTAATGCATTACTTTTAAAAGTAACTTTCCCCAACACTGGTGTTGAAATTGACGCGGACCGACTGTGCAGGCCGATCGGCGTATTACAGTACCACGAGAGCTGAAGAGAGCAGACTTCTCCGTGCGCTTTCGAATCGGTCTCGCGGATGTCAAACACTTATTGATCTGCGCCGCACCTCTTCTAGTCGAACACACTGGCTAGTGCTGCAGGCTTATTGGCTCACTGACGCTGATGAGATAAACCCCTTAGGTATCGAAATTTGGTACGGAACGACGAGACGTTTTTCGATACTCGATGGTATCAAGGCATTTCGGTCGGTGCCTAAAAAGTATCAAACTCGATACCCAGCCCTACTTAAAAATGAAACAAAATTAAGTGAGTTTATGCTCAAAGCAAGAACAATAATTGGCTAAAGGGCTATGAAATGTTTTCCCTTTAAATTAATTTGTTTTGTACGGTGACCGAGAGAGCTCAATGCACTGCAACTTAAGAAAACACATGCAAATAGAAAAAGCACCAGCAAATTAAGAAAATATCTTCATCAGTTTGACAACACATGTTCTGCAAATTCTCACAATGCGACCAAATACAGAAATGCGCTGCAAATCCTCACAACACAATTAAATACAGAAATGCACTTCGAATACACACAACACAACCAAATACAGAAAAGCGTTGCATGTAGCACAGACCACAACGGAAATTTTTCTAGGGGACCCCAACAACCCTTACGAAAATTAACTATTTTTATTAAAGTAAAAGTGTATTAATGATGTTTTTGGTGTTTGCAATTTTACCATTACCATTTTTTTTGGAGTGATTACCATTTGTGTATCTACGACACACGTATCATGGTTAAACTATGGTTAGTGTAATTTGTGATTACCATGGTTTAACTATAGTAGCCATGTCTGTGCGTATTTGCGGCGCATTTCTGTATCTGGTTGTGTTGTGAGTCTTTGCAGCGCATTTGTTGTCAAACTGATGAAGATATTTTCTTAATTCACTGGTGTTTTTTTCATTTGCAGCGCGTTGAGCTCTCTCGGCCACCGTAGTTTTGTGTGCTTTATTTGTATTTCTGGTGCTTTATTTTTGTGTATTATCAACATGCAGTGACAGACTGATGTGATTAGTCACATAATGGGAAACCCTCGCTTTGATTAAACCCAACTACAAGTGATCACAGGACATGCATGTTAATATCAGATGTAAATGACAGTTGTCTCTGCCGACTCACTTGAGATCTGATCATCCGTGACGGATGCTAATACCAGGTGTGAAGCAGGCCATATGGATACACTCAAAACCCGTAATCGTGCAAGATGAGATCTCCCGCTGTCCTGAAAGGACTTGAAACTTTTTAATTTAAACTTCTTTGAGCCTGCTTTTAAGATGTTTCTCAGTCATTTATCTGAAGTGTTATGTTATTGTTATATTGCTCAGTTCGGCCAGAAGGAGAAAACAACATTTCTGGGATCCAGAAAAGACTACTGGGATTATTTCAGCGACTGCCTGGCCAAAATCAAAGGAGCAAACGATGGAATCCGCTTTGTTAAATCAATTTCAGAGGTTAGTATCTCTCTCATTCACTTCCTACATGCATCTGAGGAGTGTGTTCCTGTGTGACATGCTAAATATTTTTATTATAACAAAATCATTTATAATAATAATAACAATAATGTAGGTGTATGAAAAATATGAGTAGGTAATATAAATTTTATATTACTATATAATATGGACATTTGATAGATGAATGTAATAATGATAATATTATATTTATTAATATTAATTCATAAATAATAAATACTCATTTATAATATAATAATAATATTGCTAATAATAAACTTTATTTAAAGCACCTTCAAAAGTAGCTTCTCAGAGCACTTTACATAGTAAAAACAACAATGTTAACAATAAAAACATTACAAACTAATGCAAATGCATAAACGTAAGAAATAAAAATATATAAACCCGTGTCATTCACATTCACTTATTCTCAACATTAAAGGGTTAGTTCACCCAAAAATGAAAATTCTGTCATTAATTACTCACCGTCATGTCGTTTCAAACCCGTAAGACCTTCGTTCATCTTCAGAACACAAATTAAGATATTTTTGATGGAATCTGAGAGCTGTCTGACCCTGCATAGACAGCAATGCGACTGAAATGTTCCCAAGTCCAGAAACATAGCAAGGAGATCGGTAAAATAATCCATGTGACATCAGTGGCTCAATTATACGAAGCTACGAGAATACTTTTTGTGCGCAAAAAAAAATTAATAAATAACGACTTTATTCAACATTTAGGTTGTTATGTAAGAAATAAAAATATATAAACCCGTGTCATTCACATTCACTTATTCTCAACATTAAAGGGTTAGTTCACCCAAAAATGAAAATTCTGTCATTAATTACTCACCGTCATGTCGTTTCAAACCCGTAAGACCTTCGTTCATCTTCAGAACACAAATTAAGATATTTTTGATGGAATCTGAGAGCTGTCTGACCCTGCATAGACAGCAATGCGACTGAAATGTTCCCAAGTCCAGAAACATAGCAAGGAGATCGGTAAAATAATCCATGTGACATCAGTGGTTCAATTATACGAAGCTACGAGAATACTTTTTGTGCGCAAAAAAAATTAATAAATAACGACTTTATTCAACAATTAGGTTGTTATTACAGATCTCCTTGCTGGTCAGACAGCTCTCAGATTCTATCAAAAATATCTTAATTTGTGTTCCGAAGATGAAGAGTAATTAATGACAGAATTTTCATTTTTGGGTGAACTATCCCTTTAACAACTAACAATACTACTAATGTGACTAATATTTTATTATTCATTTATAATAATTGCATATGCATGAAAAAGCAGTAAATGTCCATGCTCACTACCCTTTTTTTATTTAGTTGTATTACTGGACATCTCTTAACAAAGCATGTCCGTAGACACACACTTTTTGTTTAAACAAACCTTCCTATCAGATTTGTACAGTTCCGTTTTGTCACTGAAATACAAGAGATTTTTGTGATACCATTGATCAGGTTGTTCCGTGTCTGCCCACATTATATGCTGATCTAAATGCCATGTTCTTTTTAAAAGTGCCACTTCCCCATGAACACTGTTTGATATTGTCCACGGTCAAATTTGTTTTTGTATTGTCTTGACACTGAACTCTGCTAATGTGGTGACCAGCTTCCTTATCTTGTGGTGAGGTCAGTTTCGGTGGCAGATACGCTGAATTTTGGGAATTAAATTTGAGTAACAGTAGGTTAATTATTCAGCTTTGACTGATTACTAGTTGTACTCTGTGTCTGTATGCATGTGTAAATATGGGCATTTCATTATGCCACACAGAAAAAGTCAAACATCCATCAATTTAAAAGAAAAAAATAGTGTCTTTTAACAATATTAAAAGTTATTTGCCTTAAATATTAAGCAACCACCCAAAACATCCTAGCAGTCACTTGCAACACCTTGAAAAATGAAATGTCCGATATGTTTTGGAACACTGCAGATACTTGAGTGGCAGTGAAAGCGTTGTTCTTTTTCTGTCTTAGCTCAAGACGTCTCTGGGTAAAGGCAGAGCATTTATCCGTTACTCACTCGTGCATCAGCGGCTGGCTGACACACTCCAGCAGTGCCTCATGAACCACAGGGTCACCAGGTAACACTTCACTGTCATCTCACCTGTCATGCTACCCATCTTTCTTAATAAATATAGAATTTAGTATTCAGACCCTTAGTCTAAGTCTTTGATTGTTTGAATTCCAAATATTACATTGAAATGTCCTTTTGAAATTATTAAATTGTTTTTTTAATGAAGACAATGAAATGTGTGTCAGTGCAATGTTTCTACATGTATGTGTATTAAAAAAATATTCACATGATTGGATTTTATATTAATGCAGTAATTGTTAAAAGTTTGGAAACATTACGATTTTAACATGTTTTTGATGAAGTCTCTTATGCTCACCAAGTTTTCAAAAATACAATAAAAACAGTAATATTGTGAAATATTATTACCATTTAAAACAAATGTTTTCTATTTCAATATAATTTAAAATATAATTTATTTCTGTGATGCAAAGCTGAATTTTCAGCATCATTACTCCAGTCTTCAGTGTCACATGATCCTTCAGAAATCATTCTAATATGCTGATTTGCTGCTCAAGAAACATTTCTTATTATTATCAATGATGAAAACAGTAGTGCTGCTTAAATATGCGGAAACCTTGATATGCTACCATTCAAATTTTTATTGTGTGTGTTTGAGTGCGTGTGGTTTTTTAAATAGAAATGAATGCTTTTATTTAGCAAACATGCATCCGATTAATAAAAAATGACAGTAAAAACAATAATGTTACAAAAGATTCAATTTCAAATAGACTCTGTTCTTTTGAACTTTCTATTCATCAAAGAATACTGAAAAAAATAGCAAAGTAGAGTGGAAGACTGGAGTAATGATGCTGAAAATTCAGCATTATATCACAGGAATAAATTACATTTTAAAATCTATTCACATAGAAAACAAATTGTAATAATATTTCACAATATTTCTTGCTTTGATACAATAATTGCAGCCTTGCTGAGCATAAGAGACTTCATTAAAAACAATTAAAAATCCTAATGTTTCCAAACTTTTAACAAGTACTGTATACAATATGGACATTTGAATAATAGTTATCATGATAATAATGAACTTTTATGGTGTATGAAACATATGAATATATATTATAGATTTACAAAAATTTTATAAAATACTTTAAATGGACATTTGAAAAATAAATGTCGTCATAATCAACTATTACTGCACCTTTAAAAGCAGCTTCTTAAAGTACAGCCTTAACAACAAAAACATTACAAACTAATGAAAATAATAAAACATGCAATAAAAAAAAAATACATAATGTGTAGATGTGCATTGCATATATGATACAATGTGTGATTGTATTTTAAACATGGCAGTAAATTAAATCTGTTACTTTATAAATTATTTAAAATGGAAATACAACTTGATATTGAATCAAGTTTTTAATCAAGGTTACAATCAAATAACTTTTTGTAATTCAACATCTGTATGCCAAAGTTTAGCAAACACACAAAATGTTTTCATGCAGCATTTCTGCGATTATGGAGAAATTACACCTGAAATAGGTTGTGCCATTAGCGTAGATGCATGATTATTCATGCTAATGTCCGTGTTCACCATCTAAACCAAAAAAGGTGAAAACTTGTGCATAAGCTGCCATTTCCGCATGTTCTATTTACAGTATTTTAACAACACACAACTTAATTCAGTAGAAACAATACTGAGAGTGCTTCCCCCGTAGTTTTACTTCTTTAAATGGGCTTCCCTCTTTAAAGAAAACGCCTTTACATTTTTACTCAAGGTTTATGGGTCTGTGCTATGCATGTGTATACAAGCTTAATATAATAAGGTCTTACTGCAGACCTTTCTGCATGCTGTTTGTATTTGCATGTAGGTACGTAAATTTAGCAAACTAAGTTAATCGAGAACTGTCACAAACTGTTGTGCAAGAGGTTGTTGTAAGTTGCATTAGCTTATACACTACCGTTCAAAAGTTTTGGATCAGTAAGACTTGTAATGCTTTTTAAAGAAGTCTCTTATGCTCATCAAGGCTGCATTTATTTGATCAAAAATACAGAAAAAAACAGTAATCTTGCAAAATGTTATTACAATATAAAATAATGGTTTCCATTTTAATATCCTTTAAAATATAATTTATTTCTGTGATGCAAAGCTGAATTTCCATCAGCCATTACTCCAGTATAAAGTGTCACATGATCCTTAAGAAATCATTCTAAAATGCTGATTATTATTAGATTTATCAATGTTGGCAACAGTTGTGCTGCCAAATATTTTTTTGGAAACCGTTACTTTTTTCAGGATTCTTTGATGAATAAAAAGTTGAAAAGAACAGCATTTATTCAAAATATAAATATTTTCTAACAATATAAATCTTTGGTATCACGTCTTAACAATTTAACACAACCTTGCTGAATGAAAGTTTTAATTTCTTTCAAAAAAAGAAAGAATAAAAATGTACTGACCCCAAACTTTTGAACGGTAGTGTATAATGTTAGAAAATATTTCAATTTTAAATAAATGCTCTTCTTTTTAACTTTTTATTCATCAAAGAATCCTGAAAAAAAGTATCACAGGTTCCAAAAAAATATTAAGCAGCACAACAGTTTCCAGCACTGATAATAAATCAGCATATTACAATGATTTCTGAAGATCATGTGACACTGAAGACTGGAGTAATGATGCTGAAAATTCAGCTTTGCATCACAGGAATACATTAGATTTGAATGTATATTAAAATAGAAAAACTTTATTTTACATCGTAATAATATTTCACAATATCAAATTTTTTCCTGTATTTTTGATCAAATAAATGCAGCCTTGATGAACATAAGAAACTATTTTTTTTCCAGTACAAATATCTAAACATCCTTAAGTCAAGATTCATTTGAAGATATTGAACAAAATGAAGTGAGCTTTGATTTTGCTTTTCAAGTAAATGTATCTTTATTTAAATGCATCTTTATTTATATTTTTGCACTGGGAAACAAGAAACAAATTATGATGAAGAAAACCTTTTTTTTTTTGCAGTGTGATCAGAAGGTAGTCTAAACATTATTTCCATATTATAGTTGTATTCAAGTTTAAGTTTCTTTGTAAAATGAATTAAAAAGTAATGAAGATGTGTTGGAAGCTTTATTTTCAAACTTTGAAGCATTGCTAATATAAGAAAACATATTGATGTGTTGCATTCATTTTATTCTTTAAATTTTCTTTACTTGGTCTTAAAAAGTCTTAAATTTACCTTCATAAAAACCTGCAGAAACCCTGAATGTAATAAGATTTGGAGTGCCATCATTTTTATTTCTTATTGAAGAACTAGACTGTTTTCCAAGGCTTTTTTTTTCTTCTGTAGTGACTGGTATAATTCCCGGAGTCCATTTCTCAAACCCCATCTCAGTGTGGACATCATTAATTACCTCTATGAGCTCAATGATGTTCAATTTGATGTGGCATCCAGGGGTCATGACCTTGACTCAGAGTGGCCCACTTTTGCAAGGTAAGAACACACTATAATTTTTGCAATTTCTATTATAAATAATAAAACATCAACAGTATATTACTACAAAAACAATGGCACACATATAATGCTACTAATTTATGGTCCATTTGCCATTTAGTATTTATGATCCATTTGCCATGACTGGAAATAGTATGTGTGTGGATGTGTTTGAATAAGCTGATTAATGTTCAATTAACTTAATTTAAAGTTAATTTAAAAAATGTCTCACAGTAGGACACTGGGAAGGACTAGCTCCCCCAGTCACATGTGGAAACCACCGAGTCGTAGTTCCAGCATCAACAGTCTGGCCAGTACATACTCACAGGTACCAGCACACCTTTTGAAGGTCCCTGTTGTCATGAATCATTCTAAACTTTACACTACTGTTTTATATCCAGTAGATGGCAGTGTTCAAGCAATCTCTCTTTCTTTCATTCTATGTATATTCCCTCTCTCAAAATTTCTTTCAAACATTGTAGCAGGCCCATGAGTTCCCTGGGAGTCCAGACTTTGGACCTGGGCTTCTATCCGACATGTCTGTCCAAAACTCCAGTGGACTTAATGATTCTTCCATCAGTGCTATAGACGAACTCCGTCTGGAGCTGGACCAGTCTGAATTAAAGCAAAGAGAGCTACTCGACCAGGTTCAGCAGTTTGGCAGAGAGACAGGTGAACTCCACGGGGTTGTGGTAGAACTCCAAAGGCAGCTGGACGTCTCTCTAGCTGCCCAAGGTAACCATCAGGAGCTCCAGCGGAACCTGGAGGTGCTAGCTGAGAGCGAACAAGCACTATTCCATGAGCTGGAGGTCTTAAGGGGACGCGAGACTATCAGGGAGGCCTCCTATAAGGACCTCCAGGACATGTTGGCAGCAGCAGAACGGAAAAATGAGGAACTGATGGCCAGGCTAGATGGAGTATTGAATGAGAAAGGCCAGAGGGCAGCCAGTGACTTCAACTCTGCCCAAAAGATTCACGAGCTGTTAAATGAATTGAAAGAGGCTGAGAAGGGAAGGATAGATGCTCTGGCAGAAGGAGAAGAGAGGAGGAGGCAGGCAGAACAGCTGGCTGAGAAAATCAGAATAAAGGATGAAGCACTCAAAGAGGCTGAAGTGAAAATGGCAGCTTGGATGGAAAAGGGTGAGCAACTGCAAACCAGGGCAGAAGAGCACTGTAATGTCATGGACAAACTTCAAGGGGCACTTGCAGTGCGAGAGAAGGACACCAGCAACCTGCAAATGCAACTGCAAGATCTCCAGCACTCTCAGGAAACAATGGAAAAGCAGGCCAAAGTGGAGTGGAAGGAAATGCAAGAGGATAAAGAAGAGCTTGAGAAGAAGGTGAGTGGCCTGGAAGAGCTGTTGCAAACATTACGGGCACAGCTGAAGGCTAAGGAGTCCAATCTTCTCTCCAGTATCAAGAGAGTCCAGTATTTGGAGAAGGAATCAGAGAAGCTTAACAGTGACAAACAGAATCTGAGAGAAACCATATCTGCACTGGAGAACAGCACCAAAGAGCAGTCCAAGAAGATTGAGGAATACAAAGATAGCTGTGGCAAGCTAATGGAGGAAAACAGCAAGCTCCTCCAGATGGTGAACAAGAATGAAGAGACCAAGAAGGAGTTGCTTAAAAACAAATCTTCTCTGGAGAGTGAGCTGGCTGGATTGAAGGCCTCAGAGAAGCACTTGCGAGCGCAAATTGATGATGCCAAAGTGACTGTGGATGAAAGAGAGCAGCGGCTCAGAGAGGAGAACAGAAGTCTGGATGAAAGGCTACATAAGGCCAACATGCAGTTGGAGGAATCCGAAAGTTCAATTCGCCAATGGAAACTGGAGAACAAGGACCTCATGGAGGTTCAGGTGACTCTTAGGGCATCTCTCGCAGCCATGCAGGAGGAGATACGCAACATCAACAGCCAGATTGCTGAACTTGAGAGGAGTCTTGGAGCAGCGAGATGCAATGAGGCAAACCTGACCACACAACTTAAAGATAAGGATTCCGAACTGGAGGATCGGGAGAAGCTCTGTGAGGAGCTCCAGGGAAGGGTGGAAGAACTTGAAGGTCAGGAGAGGGATTTGGAAATGGAGAAGACAAAGGCAGAAAGAGCCTTTGTTAAACAGACAGAGATGATTAAGACTCTTGAGGCCCAGAGGACAGCTGTGGAGAAGGTCCAACTTGAGCAGAGTGCATGCCATGCTAAAGAGACCCAAGAGATGGCCTCAAAAGTGACTCTCCTGGAAGATCAGCTGGGACTGAGTGTGAAAGAGGTTTCTAGGCTTCAAGAGGAGGTGCTCGATCTCAGGGCTAAACTTTACAGTGCTGTGGAGGAAAAGGACAAGACCCAAGCAAAGCTGGAGGTCACCGAGGCTTCCTGTGCAGAACTACGAACCTTGACTGAGCAGTTGAAGAAGCAGGCAGAGGAGCAGAATCGACTGCATGTGAAAGAGCTGCTGCAGTCTAGCGAACGGGTCGATGCCATAGCTTTGCAACTGAATCAGGAGACATCCACATGCAAGAAAACAACCGCTGAACTCACTTCAGTCCAAGAGGAGCTGGCGGAGCTCAAGTCCCAGAATGAAAGGTTGGTTCTGGAGAATGCTGAGACCAGAGAAGGTGTCCATCGGGTCAACACAGAAATGGCAGAGTTGGGAATGACAATTTGCAAGCTCACCGCAGAGCGGGAAGAGGCCCGGAAACAATGGGCTGCCGAAGCTGCTCGGATCCAGGAACTTCAACAGCAGGGAGTAAAGGAAACGGAGCGACTTAATGCTAGCTTGGTGGCTCTTCACCAAGAAAACTCTAGTCTACAAGAAGAGATCCAGCAGACGGAGAAACTTTCAGAAACTATGCTGGAGCTAAAGGAGCTGCTGGACAAAACCGAGGGTGAACGGGACACTGCTCGTGAAGAGATCGCGGCAGTGAAATTTCAGATGAGCACGGAGAGCATGACTTTCAAAAACCAGATAAAGGTAAAATGAGTTCAGAATCATCAGTCATTATCACTTCAAATCTATTCTGTCAAATACTTATGCTGCGTTCACGTCATGGTAAAATTACCATAATTACAAGTAGACAACTCTACTCTGTACAAGCTTTCTGAAATAATTTGTTTCTATGGTAACACTCATAATGCAAAATGCATTATAGAAGAAATATAAAACAGAAATATGTAATGTATATATATCTATCACAGCCTTTTTGGTTGTTTTTACATATCACACAGTTAAGTGAGAGAAATTGGTCATAATTCAAGTTCATGTGAATGCTATATAAAAGGCAGGAACTCATAATTACAGTATTTCTGTCTTGATATGAATGCAGCATTTTCAGTAGACTTTAGTGAAGTTTTATCTAATTTACTTTGTGATTAACAGAAATCCAAGTACTTTTCTTGTAAAATAGTGACTATTTTAGTATAGTATCTTTTTTTTTTAAATACTTTGTATTATTTCTTGATATAATTAGTATTTGTTTTTTAACATAGAGCATTAATGAAGAGATTAAGGGTTTGAAAACTCAGCTAGACATGGAGTTGAAGAAGACATCTGAGCTGGAGGCCAAATTATCCGAGTTAGAGGTATGCAAATGTTGAGCCAGGTTAGGATAGACTAACAACATCACTTTTAATACTTCTATTTCAATGATCTACATGATCATCAGATACTTTTTGCATACCAGCATGTGAATGATTATTATTCATCTCTGTTGGCTGATAACACTGGTATTAGTAGGAGATGAAGCTCTGATCTCTCGCTGCTCCTTTTGTACTTGTTCAGTGGAGACCCACTGTGCCAGACAGTGGAACAGAAGACAAGAGATTGGGGTTAATTGCCAGACAGTGATGAATAATTTGCTTCTCATTAAGTCTATAATTAGGAACAGTGCAGACTGTTACCTGCAGATATTTGTCAATTAGAGTATAAGTTCCACTGTAATTATTTTGTAAAATAATGCTCCTCCAGTTGTGCAGCTTTTTGCAACAATAAAGCTTGTTTTTTTTTTTGCTTAGTTATTTTTTTTTTTGCATAACTATTGAGTCAAATATACATTTACAATTATTTCTCTTTGAAAAACGTTATAATAGAAGCACAGTGGTACAGTGTATTTGATGGTAAAACCATGGTGCTGAATTATACCATTTTATGCACCATGGTATTTAAAATAATACCGCAAAACATGGTATTCCCTCACAAAAAGTTCTTAGGCAGTACCATGTTATTGCAGTGATTTTAGATGGTAATACTATTGTGCCTTGAAATGGACAATGGTAGGGAAATGCATGTATCTACATGGTGCTTTCAAGAATACCATGATACTACCAAAATACCATGGTACAAACAACCATGATGGAACCATAGACATTTTTGTAAGTGTTATGTTACATGTCCAAAATAGATTAGTTATGGTACATTTCTGTTAATGTTAACACATTGTTAAATGCTGTAATTTCAATAATACAGTAATGCATTTTTTATTATATTCCTTGGATAAGATGAAATAATCAAGATAAAATAAAACAAAACGAGAAAAAATAACTATACAGTGTCAGTGTATACAAATGTTTGATGTTTCTGTGTACAGATTGTGTTCATGCATTTGGCTGTTTGTTTGTGTATTTAGGCAGTAAATATTGAATACTCTCATCTGATTGAGGAGAAAGATTCTCACATCACTGACTGTGAGACTCAGATGCATGAGAGAGAGTGTGAGACACAGCAACTGCAAGAAAGTGTATCAAGGTGAGTGTTCAAAAACACAATAAAAGGGTTAATGCAGTACAGATAATGGATCTGCATGTGTAAAAGCCATCTCTAATGGATTTCCAAATGGATCTTCATAAGGATTTCATAGACCCTGGAAGAGATTCAGTTTTAGTAATCGGTTAGGTTATATTTGTATGCATTATTATGAGCTTCTATTTTCTTTTTCTCTCTCCCTTAGTACCAAAGAGGCTCTTAGTGAGGTACAGAAAGAGAGGGAAGAACTGAAGCAGAAATTGGATCAAGTGTTGACAGAGACTCAGAATCAGCATCTCCAGATGTCTGCTGAGCTGGAGGATCTGGGCCAAACCAAATTAAACCTGGAGGAACGGCTCATTGAACTTATCAGGTCTGTATATAGATCTTGTTTTAAAATTTAAACTTAAAAAAAAAAAAAATCTTAATGATGAAGCAAGCCCCTCAATTTCTTTTACTACTTTAGGCTTGCATGTCATCTTGTGCTACTTGAAATAAAAAGCTCTGGTCAGGCTTCAGAGGAGAGAAACTAAAAATAGACTAAAAACAATTTCACAGATGAAGCTACTTGTATTCTCAATGAGATGTTAAGAAAAGCTGATAATGGCTGTGTTCAGTGTCTGTATATCAAAATACAAGAAGCACAAATAAAAGCAGGTCAAGGGCCCGTACTCATCTGCTAGATTGTCTCAGTCTTTGTACATTCCTGCCACACTCACACACAAGCAGATGTTTGTTATTTGCTCTTTTTAAGTGCATGGCTTGTTGAGTTCTCATGGATTGTAAGGTAATTCACTTTAATTCTCAATGCAAAACAAAACTAAAATGTGAATGTCTAGAGAGCCAGACAGCTGAGATGAGAACACGACCGAACAAAAATAAAGATGCTGCTGCAACAAAAGTGTCTGAGATATTCAGGAACTCACATAAGCATTTCTTTTTTGATGAAATATGCCGTTCGGTGTGAATACAATTATTCACATAATCAAACAGCTGCAGATGTTATAAAACTCTATCCTTGACATGAAAAGGAAATGAACCATGAAAGGTGCTTTAAGTCATTGAGGACCCCAAGAGACAAAAGAGAACCTAAGAGATTCTGAGTCTTTGTTTCTCATCTCCTCCTTTCTCTCTGTGTTTCAGGGATAAGGATGCTCTGTGGAAGAAGTCGGATGCTCTGGAGTTCGAGCAGAAGCTGAGAGCGGAGGAGCAGTGGTGGCTGGTCGATAAAGAGGCCACACATTGTCTGGGCTGCCAGGGCCAGTTCACATGGTGGCTGCGGCGCCATCACTGCAGGTGGGCAATCTCACGAACACCTCACCCACTCTGATCTCAAGTTAGAAGTGAAGTGAAATGCAAAAACCTGCAGAAAATAAATGTGTGAATATTAATGTTAAGGAAAGTAGAAGTATTGTATGGAAGCCCGTTTCTGCCACTGAATAAAAAAATAAAAGAGGTAATTGTGACTTTTTATCTCACAATTCTGACTTTTTTTCTCAGAATTGCATGATACAAACTCGCAATTGCGAGTTAAAAAGTCATAATTGAGAGATATAAACTCGCAATTGCGAGATATAAACTCACAATTCTGACTTTTTTTTCTCAGAATTGAGATATAAACTCGCAATTCTGAGAACATATCAGTATTTTTCCCCCCTCAAAATTAGACTTTAACTCGCATTTGTGAGTTTATATATCACAATTCTGAGAAAAAAAGTCAGAATTGCAAGTTTTTATCTCGCATTTGTGACTTTATATCTCGCAATTCTGACTTTATTGTGAGTTTATATCACGCAATTCTGAGAAAAAAAAGTCAGAATTCTGATTTTATATCTCACAATTTTGTGAAAAAAGTCAGAATTGTGAGATAAAAAGTCGCAATTACCTTTTTTTTTTTTTTATTCAGTGGCGGAAACGGACTTCCATAGTATTGTACACATTTTTTGAAGAAAGATTTAGCAATCACACCACGTTAGTTTAGCGCACAGTGCTAATGTTTTTGTTGTGAAATGTTTTGCTGAAAAAATGGTTATATTTCTTGAAATGAAATTACACTATATTTGAAAGTGTGTATTGTAAAAAGCATTTATTCAACAAAATATTCATGCATTTTTAAGTGAGTTTTGAGTGTCCAAATCTGTCAGTATGTGCAGGTTTAGCACTGGAGGAATTTAAATTAAATCATTGTCTTTTTCTGGGCAAACATAACACATTTTTGTCTGTTTGCTTTGCTACCTGATCTGCATAATGACTTTAGTCAATCTGGCTGAAACAATGCAGGCAAAAATTGCAAATAAACACCATCACTTAGAGCAATTAATTCTTAGTCAATCCTCACCTCAGGTCTTTTAGACACATCCTGAGGTTTTATTGCAATTCTTTGAGTACATTGAAGGAATAGTTCACCCCAGAAAGAAAATTCACCCACAGGCAGTCCAAGATGTAGATGAGTTTGTTTCTTCATCGGAAGAACAGATTTGGAGAAATGTAGCATTCCATCACTTGCTCACCAATGGATCCTCTGCAGTGAATGGGTGCCGTCAGAATGAGAGTCTATAAACAGTTGATAAAAACATCACAATAATCCACACCACTCCAGTCAATCAACTAACCTCTGGTGAAGTGAAAAGCTGCGTGTTTGTAAGAAACAAATACATCAAGATTTTTTT